CAACTATGGTTATCGCTCGAGAGTGTGGAAGACTCTCTGCCTCAATCATGTTGGGTGTAGGTGGTTTTGTATCGAGCGTGGATAAGACAGTGTTCTCTACCTTAATGGCGCTGGATGCCTAATGAGTGACGCCAGGTGCGAGTTACACGATCAGTTACTTGTTGAAAAGATGTTGTTTAGGTTGTTTAATATTTGAACGATGGTGATTAAGTTGTGTGAATGATGATGTATGATAGAAAACCTACGGGTGATAAGTTGTGAGTTGATAAATGATTAAGTTGTAAAACTGCACATGTTGAGTTGTTTAAAGTTGTTACACTATTAAGCTATTAGGTATGTGGTTGAGATACATGTCATATTTAAAGATACATAAAAACTAGAGGGGCGTAAGTGATGACTTTGAAAACCAAATATGTGGTGCTCCAAGAGTTCAAGTGTTGAAAATTCTTTAGTACGTGAGTTAACTACTAAATGGTACGTTTTGTGTTGTCTCCTTTAAGCTTTATGTGGTATCCATGTGTGGATAAGATTGAAACACACATGTATAAAGTGACCAATTGAATAAAGCACTAGGTCAGGAACTTAGTTTTTAACCTAATATTGGAAGGACGTAGTACATGTATGGTAGTTAGTGGGCTAATCGCATAAATGGTTTAGTGATGCAAGCTACTGTCATGATAAACTAATACGCAAATTATTATACCTTGATAGTAGTATTAGACTTCCTAATTTAAGTGACAAACTTGAAAAATTAAATTGAGTTGTTAGCTGACTTGGTTGATGTACCTGTTTAAGGACACACTCGTAATCTTCTAGTAACTGGAGGTCCGAACGAGAGCTCCGGGCAGATGCTTTTGAGGGGGGAGGTACCTGCAAAAGGCACTCCGACGCTCAAGTCAAGACAAGCACGATTCTCGAGAGTAATAATGAACAATGACATATCTCGTTTTACGTGACATATTTATACTACTGATAATGTTAATTTTTACTTACATTCTATTACCAAATTTGTTAACACATTCAACTCTTTTCTAACTTTCGACTTATGTAATCCTCAATTTAACTTCTCTTTTGTAAGTAAAGACACTTTGGTTACACATACAGGGTTATACATATTTAATCCTCATTTTTTGTAATTTTTTGGATAGGTAATCATGTCGGAAGAAACGAAGTCAAAGAGAAAATTTTTGATTGAACTCTAATGAAGCAAGCTGGCATTTTCAGTAGACCCGCGCTGAGCCCATATCTCAGCTCGCTCAGCGCACTAGATCAGGCTGAGTTGATGGAGATTTGGCATCGCGCTGGGCATGTTCAATCACGCGCTCGGCGCGCCTTCCGTCACGCGCCAAGCGCGTATCGTATCGCGCTGAGCGCATCACTTAAAGAGTTGCGTTGATTGATATAATTTCTGGCTGAGCGTGAAGAAAAGGGAGGGGGGAAGCAGAACCAAAAAAGGAGCACCAGTGCAGGTCTGAAAGGGAGAAGCTAGGGTTCACCTCTTCACCATTGTTTCTCATTGGTTTTCTTCCATTCTCACTCATTTGATGTACCTTGCTAATCTCATAGACATGAGTTGTTAAAATCCTTTGTTGGGGTTAGATGTAGCCAAGTTGACTCTCATGTAACTTGTTTGAATATATATATCTATCTTCTTCATTCAAATGCTAGTATCATGTTCTTGTGCTTAATGCTTGTATAGAATGATCAACTATTACATGATTGGTGATTACTTTTGGTGTGGAAAAATATCATTGGTAATCTTGTTTGGGAATGTGGTACCTAGTAAACTTGTGTCTAGGAATGGAACATGAGTTACTTGTTGTTTGGAGCCCTTAAGTTTAATGCAAGTGGATTTATTGAAGTATTCAAGGGATTGATATTTGGTAATGAAACTTAGGCTCTTTTAACCAAGGAATTGGAATTTGAGAAAATTAGGAAGGTTTTTTATACATGAGATTAAAGTTGGTGAAGTCTAACCCTAACATTTCATTCATATAAGTCAATCTCCAAAACCGCATTTTAAGTGTTTGATGAAAGTTCACTTTAGTTCAATTTGCCCTTTTTAGCTTAAAAATTACAATCTACCAAATATGAAATCATTCTTTAGTCTGTATTAGCTTAAATTTCACATATTGCCATTGTATTACTCAAGTCCTTTGGGAAGATCAACTATTACTTCTACTTACTACTTGTGCGATTAGTTCGCTTGTCATATTGGAAGTAATCGTTTAACAACTACCTGTGATGGGCCCTGAACGTAGTGGGCCTCTTCTAACGCTTACCAAATTAGGTAATACGTTGCTAATCGGCTGATTATGTCTTAATCATGTGTTTGTCATCGTTATTCATGATTATCGTCTTAATCACTTAGGCTTATCGGTCGTTGGCCAAGCCGATAAGCATAAGACCGGACTTGCCTTAGGGTCTCGGCCTTATACCGAACCGAGGCATTGTTGGGGAGGTCAGCAAGGTGCGCTCTTGAGCAAGCTTATCGGTTGTTTACTGAGCCGATGAGCGTAAGGCCGGATCTGCCTTTGATGTGTCCCAAGGAATAAGAAGATCCTTTAGGTCTCGGCCATTTGCCGGGCCGAGGTGTTGTTAAGAGGACCAACGAGATGCGCCCGATGCGCGACGTTCCACGTGGTTCATAGGACCCTTTCGGTACACAAGTGTGTCGGCCATCTCGGTGGCCGATAGAGTGTCACGTGACGTTCCATGTGGTCGACAGGACCTTTCTAGTACAGTTGAGAAAGGTTACACATTGTGATTCGGTAGGTCCTAACACTTAAATTATTCATTTTGTGTTGTAGGAGATTTTAGTAATTAATATGCATGATGTTGCATTAGATATAATAAATGTTGTTATATTGAATGTGTTGAAGTTGATTAAGGTCTTGTATAGACATCGATTATCGTTTAAGTTTATTTTACACTTAATATTATATTTTATCTATATTATATAATATGTATGTACATGATATTAGATATTAAACTTATATAAATCTTAAATCTATTAAATATTGTTTATTTTTCCATTGTGTAATAATTAAATTGTAATAAATGTAATAACAAGCTCAGTTACAATTATGAAATATATATATATATATATATATATATTAACAATCCGAATAAATCAATCAAATAATTTAAAGTTAAATTCATCTCACCTTTTAGTTTTTAAACAAATACTATGTAAAATTAAACAAGTTGGATGCCTAAATTATTTGAAGCCATGATTGTAACTTAAAATTTTATATTGGTTGGTTGGATCGAAATAATTGTGTAAAAAGTAAATGTTAGAGTTAATTATAAATTAATATTTGATTTTTTATTTTTATTATTATTATTTTTGGTTAATCAGACCTGTTTAATGCAATTTTATCATATTTATGACTTTTTTAATAAATATATTAGTTAGTTTCGCTGACTTTTAAGTATTGAATGAATAAAAAAAATATCACTGTTTTATTAGGATCTAAATTTAAAATATAAAAAGTAATAAATTTAGAAATAAAAGACAAAATAAGAGTTTTTTAAAAAAAGTTTTATAAAGTAATAATATAATTTTGAGATATTATATGGAATATGTTTATGATTTAATTAGAATAATTTGTTTTGTGGAATAAATGGAAAGTTGTAAATACAAAAAGAAAAAACGGTGGACATAAAAAGGTAGGTGGTGGAAATTACATGGTGGAGAAAAGTAGTGTGACACTGACGATGAAAGCAAAGGGGCAAAGGGCAAGAGAAGAGAGAGAAAGAAGGAGGGTATATCCGTCCTATGGAGCATAACGAAAGCCTAGCTGGCACCTTTCTTCTTTACTAGATACAGTTAGCAACGTTCCCAAAGCCAAACCCAAAGCCGCCTAATTAATTACTTCATTTTATTTATTAAAAAGTAAGTAACAGCAGAAGAGGAAGCGATGCAGATGCACACTCAGATTGCAATTCTCATTCCATCGGAAATGCGTTGAATTGATTGCGCAGAGCAGAAAATGCGCCAAGCACTAGACCTAGGACTAGGAGGAGACGTCGCCCCAGAGGCGGAGAGGCGGCGGGTAACCGCGTGGAGCCGG